TACGACCCGACCATGTGTGGCTTCAACTCACAGTACGGCTGCGTTCCTCTCGACGGATGTGGCAACAGTCTCATCGTGCCGTTTATGTACATCTTCTTCCTCGTGATGGGGTACGTCGGCATCAACTTGTTTTCGGGGATCGTAGTCGACGCGATCGGGGACGCGTCCAGCGTGTGCCCCATCAACGTCAACACGCTCGCCGAATTCTCGGACCGGTGGGCCAAGTTTGATCCGTCTGGCACGGGGCTCATCACGGCGGACGAGCTCACCGACTTTTTGTACACCGTGTACCCGCCGTTCGGATTCAAGGGTGTGCCAGGATTCACACGTCGCCGCGTTGTGATTGCGATCGGTGTGAACGATGGAGGAGGGAGCGTTTGGCTGACAGAGCATTGTAGGAGACTTGGGGATTCCGATTTACGACCTCATGTACGTTCACTTCAAGGATGTGCCTCGGGCGTTGGTCCAGCGCGTATTGGCTGAGGTAATACGAATATCACCCACCGTTCCAGCAAGCTTGAAATGAAACTAGGGGAGCCGAGAAAAGCATGCTGAAATTACCCGCGTCATGGAGGAGAAAGGCATCAACAAGCAGTTTGACGAGATGTGGTTTCGAACCCACGGCAAGAAACACCACAACGCGCTGGAGACCAAGGAGAAGAGCCCGCTGCGCGAGTACTCAAGCGCGTTGATTATCCAGCGGTTTCTTGAAAAGTCCAAGCTCGAACGCACACGGCGCCAGTCCAAATTGACTGGGCTCGACGGTGCCACGAAGCTTGCACAACCAGCTCCGTCGCACCGATCCGACACCCCACAGGAGCCCACTGTTCAGGACGAACCAGGGTCGCCTGCAGTGCCCTGAGTCTCTACATATCAAATTTTGAGCAAGCGACTACTGTCGAGGACCAACGATGCAACATATCCATAACAAGAAAATGTTGGACGAGTGTGCCCAGTCACGATGCAAAAGAGCACGCTCCACGCGAGAGACTGTTTGCGTGGAGCTAGGCGAGGAGTTGTGTCCGTCAAGGTCACCAGAGTGCCGAGAATTTGGGCTAAGTTGTGGTGCTAGCACATGTTTAAGGACACGTGAACAGTCCA